ACCGGACCGGGACCGGCAACGGGATCACAAACCTCGGTGCTGCACCCGCACCTCGCTCAGCCAGTGAGCGGGAACCGGTCTGTATGTGGGATCCGAACCCTCGGCGGGAGCGCCACCATGTTCCCAAGCTGCGCACTGTAGCAGTGCGCCACCGGGCCGGCCCTAGAAACATTTTTAACTGAAAAGTTTGCACAAAAAACTGAATACAGCTAGAGATGTTGTCTAAGTATTATAATTTATAATAACATATACTGAATGTTTACTATGTGTCAGGTACTGATATTTATGCTCTCCCATATATTACACTTATTTAACCTTTGTAATAACTATATAAGTACCAATGTCTCTGTTTTCCATTTGAGTAAACTGAGGCACAGAAGTGAAGCAAATTGGGTAAGGATGGACAGCCAGTAAATAAAGGAGCTTGATTTCAGACTCTGGCAGTTCTGACCTTCAATCTTTCCTTTCCCTATTTGTATAGTTTTTATATTGCGTGTGTATGAAAATTTAAAGAAACATACATATAGAGTAAATCCACAAAAATCTTCCTTTTCTCCCCGACTTCCACTCCCCTTCCCAAGTGTTTCCACATACACCCTTCCCATTCTTTTTCTGTGCATGTGTACACCTACAGCTGTGATCAATCATACATCTGTGCATAAATGAGATCATGCAACAACTGTTGTTCTGCACCTTGCCTGTCCAGTCTGTCTTGGAGATCATTCCAAATCAGAACACATTAGACCACCATATTGTTTTAAACTGCTGTTTCATATTCCACAGAACAGCTATATTCCTGACAGTTGTTTTAGTCTCTATCACAAAAGGCAATAAATGCTCTGTTTTGCATAGACTATTTTGTGTGACATAAAATTCTGCTTATTTACATTCCAGTGAGTGAACAGAGGCCGGATCCCATTTTTGGCAGGGCTAGACTCTCATCTGGTTTCAAGGAAGCTTTATTTTTGGCTTAGGCCACCTTCCCTCTTAAATGACCCACTTCACTACTAGAACTACACGAATGTGAAATGAAAGGAATATTGAAAACATCTTCCACTCAAGAGTTTCAGCAGTAGTATTTCCCTCATGGAATAATTTTCCTTTCATGTCATCTTCTGACATTTTTCTTAAAATAACTTTCAACTCAAGTGTATTAATATCTCCAACTCTTGACCTCGGAGAAAAACCCTGCTGTTTTTCTGGGATGCTTTTGAAGGGCACATCTACAATCTGGAGCTGTGGGCACTGAAAGATTTCTCAGGTGTTGGCTATACAGGACAAGAGAGAAAATGCCATCCCAATCTTCTGCACCTTTTATTTTTAAAAGTGGAGGCCTTTCATTGGTTTTGACAAAAGCAGTTCTGGTGTTAAGAAATTATTAATGAAGAAATCAAGTAGAGTGGGTCTGAAATATGTTATACCCCTGCCAGTTACTGTAAGAGGACTACTATCAAAAATAGAACATGTTTTTAAAAGTCAGTTTGTGTTCAACAGTACTACTGGGTGCATTAAACGTACTTTCTGTACTCTACTGCCTATTTCAACTGCAAGTCCATAGAAGAAAAAAAAGAGATAGCATTTAATCTTAGCATCCTGCCCAGCAATGCTATGCTTCTGAGCAAACCCACACTTGACAAGGTCCTGGAATGTGATGCTGTCATTAAAAATCTTCATCCAGGGCCGGCCCGGTGGCGCACTGCTACAGTGCGCCGCTTGGGAGTGTGGCGGCGCTCCCGCCGAGGGTTCGG